TTCAGTAGTTAGGAGAAATCTAACACTACCTGGCCAGTAAAAACTAAAATACCCAGTTTCTCTAACTGAAAGCTCAGTGGGATGATGAGCACCAAAAGATACCACCAAACTGAGAGTATTTCCCAAATCTCTGAATCTCTTCCTACAATGTGGAAAAGAATTGTGAAATCTGAGAACAGGCCAATTATAAAGGACACAGCTCTGTGACTCTGAAGTCAACTACGCTTCATACAACTGTAATAAAGCATAACTATTAATCTACACAGGTTAACAATATGGGATCTTTTATTGGCAATTTTGTAAATGTAGAATGCCTTTTAGTTGATGAAACAACCTAGTATCATTTGAGAGGATTATTAAGTGGTTAGGGTGGTTAACCTAAACCTTGGGATTCTTTTCCTTTCAATTCCACCAAGAATTACACGTGTTCTTGGATCTGTTGCTCTTCAATTGCCTCACTTCTGGTACTAGAAAGGTGGGAACACAAGCTACATGATTATCAACTACTGGGGCAAAGTGAGTCATGTGAGCACTGCCTCTTCATAAAAGAGTACATTCTCGCTCCAATTTCCTTGGATTTTCCCTGTTTACTGGTTGCACGCTGTGCCCATAACCTGGTTTGTTTCTGTGAAGTCTCCAGAGCAAATGACTGACAGGGTTAAACTGAGCACTCTCCAAGGCTGGAAGATACCAAAAGAAGAGTAACTTTATTTTTCAGTTTCACAAAGCATGTGTTGTTCTCAATTCCTTTTCCTCCAGCATATTTTTCACACAAAATAATGCAATATGGTAAACTTCAGTGGTCTGTTAATATATAAATGTTTTGGAAGCAGCATAGGTAAAGAGAAGCAATTTCTATTGATGAAAGAACATTCAAATTCATCTTGAATTAAAGAGATTTTCATTATAACATTGAGTAAAACAATCCCATGAAGAGAAACTAATAAGGTTATTGCCACTGAGTTCCCTTAGGATTGGCATGAGATGGCAAAAGACATTCAAACAGTCAACTGAGCGTGACTTATGAGATTAAATAACAGAGGTGTAAGTCTTAGCAGGATGATATACTGGGGCAAATCAAGGAAAGGCTGTAATGCTATTTAAAGGTGCTATTGTGTGTGTGTATACACAATGTAATGTACTGCAGTAACGCAGTTTTTGTGCAGTATTGCACATGATGATCAGCTCTATTCTTTAAATAAGTATGATCATCTTTAAAGGCAGAGGAAAAAACTGAGCAAGAGCTCCACTTTTCATGAAGTTCTTAGAATTCTACGTGGTATTAGCTGGGCTTCATTTAGTTTCGTAAGTTTTTCCCACCCAAAGGGACCTGCTATCCAGTACAGTGAGTGATAAAAATCATTAGGACTCTTCCTGTTTTTGAGTATTTTCATTTTAAAAAAAATTTGTTTTGCAAAGCAAACGTTAGCAGGTTTCTGGGCTGACATTTATTTGTTATTATATTTACCTAGTTATAAATATTTGTACAAGTCCCATCCATGATGATGGACTGGATGAGTAACTGGAGATAAAATCAGCTTAAATAAAAATCAATACAAAGGACAGCAATGCCCGCACTCCTCAGAATCACATTCTGCTGATGATTTCATTTCAGTATTTGCATTCCACTCCCAGGTTACAAGGTAGGGATCAATGTCCCCCTCTGCGTTTTTGCAATATTTTGCACGTTTTGTATACTGCCAAAAATAAATGATAAATCCTAATGGAAATGCATTATCAGCCAAGGAGATCTGCTTAAAAGCAATTACTGCACCATAGTCTCGTTAATGTTCAACTGCCAGTAAACAGGTTTCTTGGCAAATGTTTATGCTGTGAACTCTGATCATGCACTACTGAATTATTCACTTGATGTACATCAGTGCACATCTGTAGCCTAGGATTGAACCTGAGGTTTCTACCCATAAATCTCAGGTTTATTGCTACTCACTCTCTTCACCTAAGTATCCTTTGTTTTTGATAGGATTAATGGAATTAAACAAACAGGACTTGAATTCAATACTTGAATTACATAGCTGTGTGTGAATTATGCATTTAATAAAAGTCTTCAGAAAGGGAATGAAAAGCTCTGAGTTACATTTACTGCTTAATTTATTTCTGGTCAAGAAGCTATCAACCTAGTGAGTATTGTGCTATTACTAATAGACGAAGAAAGGGGGTTTGGTAGTTGAAATAGCCTTTCACTAGTAACAACCCAAGCACTGTCATCCATATCTGCTACTAACCTGAAAAAAATCAACCAGGTCTTCCATCTATTTGTTTGTTTCCTTTTGTTCAGTTTGACAGGGCATGCAAACTCATATTACACTTGTTACAACACAGTAGAGCCAAGAGTTAGAAGACAAAGCTGACTTAAAGCCATAGTCGTAGTTTTCTAGAGCAAAATGAAAACTAATCAGAATTTGTGCCTTCATTTGAAAACACAGTGAACAAATCACTGACGCTGCATTTCATGACTTCTGACAAACAGACTGCAGACAGATCTCAACCTTCAAGACTAGTGTAAGAGATATATGGGGTCCAGTCATAAGGAAAAGTATAGTACTTGGTCTAATTCTACTTGTTTACTAAATGAACCTCAAAACTCATCTATAAAAACACAGTCATTCACTGACTGCACTGGAAGCAGGGTTTATGTTTGTTTTGCATCTTGTTCCAGTTTTAAGATGAGTTACTGTGTAAACTACCAATCTGAATCTGAGTAGTTCCAAAACACCGTTCTTAAATGCATGTGAATTTTTATCAGCATGGCTTAAATAATTTGGCACTAATCCTGCAAAGAGTGGGAGGCTGAGCATATCTGAGGGTCCATGTTCAAGCATGCAGAACTGCAGGACTGTGACCTACAGATGTAAACTATATTACATCATGACAAAGTCAAATGCTTACTGGTATTCTGAATCTTAGGACCATCTAACCAGGAACAAACACAGTCATCAGGACTGAGTTTTAGTTTTTAGTCTTCATAATTTCTCCTGAAATGAAACACATGGTTTGCTAACCACTAATAAATCTAGAGCTTGGACAATTCTCATTTTCATTGCCTTGCAACTGCTGGACATTTATTGCCTGTTATCTTCAGATGTCAGAGAGCTGGGAATGTCCTGGAAAACTATCCAAAAATGCTATTGAGTACTGCAGCCCAACCTGCCCTTCCATATAAAATACCAGAATTGTGAAAACTATACTAATTGAAAAATTTAAGGCCCTTTCACTCTTACAACTATAAAGCTTGAGAACTAACCCCTTAGATTAGAAGCAAACAGGCTATAAAGCATACATAACTCCTCAATTATCTACCTCAGCTTAAAAAGAACAGGAAGAACCAGAGAATGGTTTATTATTTTCCTTAGGAAAATTAATAGTATTGAAATTAGGATCCATTAGCCCTTTCTTAAATCTTCCTGGTTTGCATGATACTGGGTATGTTGAATGGCTAAAAACTGGTGCAGCCCTAGAAGAAAATGAATCCAGGTCCTTTTTGATCAAAATTTTCAAAAGGGACAAGTGATTTGACTTTAAGTGAGTGCTTTCTGAAAGTGAGGATTGCAGAAGTCACTTGTCACATCTGAACACCTTTGCTTTAACTGCAGAGTTAAAAATAATACTGCTTCTACTCCCTTTGCAAATCCATTTTTGTACCGTGTTTGAGAGTGTAAATCCAGAGAGGACTGCTTCCATCAGTACTTCAGCTGCATCTGCAACATATAACACAGAGCTGAATCTGAAAGAGAGCCATATGTGGTTGAATTATGAAATCTCTTTTACTTAACAATGGAGACTTTCAATCAACAGTGAAAGATTTTCCTGACGAGTGTTTTCAAGAAATGAAAAGCAATTGCTAGCTTGTGCTAGGGAAAGGGAAGTAGTTCAGTATAAAGCTGGGAGGGAATCACCTGAAAAGACGCTGGTTTCTTACAACCAAGGAGTTGCAATGCATGCAGTTCTCAGCTATTCTGAGGTCTTCTTTCCCATTATATGCTCAGATTGTATTTAAAGAGATAGTTTTAAAAAACCGCAACAAACCAAAACCCCAATCCACTTGTGCTACTAAAGCAATCAACACACTGGTAACATAATGTCAAATGTATGACCAGAATTAACCCTGAATATGACCATTAGACACATGCCAGGAGATCATGGCTACCAGTCAGTTCAAGGTTTCTCCAGTTCCTGTTTCCAGTGGTGCAGGTTATGGAATGAAATTAAGAGACCTGAGGGCAAAAACTCAGTGATGCCCGCTTGGAAAAAGGAGCTGTCACTGTGCAAACAATAACAAATGAAATGTATCTGTATTTAAGCTGCATTTAAAATAACTGCACTGGTCCAATCCTGCTTGACAGCAAGTCATGTGATATTGCTCAGGCTGATTTTGCTTTTTGTTAAAATGATAACTTAAAAAAAATATAATAAAACCTGAGAGAAGACTTCCCCACCTGGGCCTGTGCCAATACTAACTAGCAATCCATATGCCCTAGGACAGGTGACTGCTATTTGGTCCTGTATTCAAAACAATGAGTATTGTGACACTTCAAATACCTTTAGCAAAGACACTGTCACTTTCTGGTCATTGGTGGAGTGCTGAGGATATAAAGAGATGCTGTCAGATTGCCTATTCCAAAAGTGACTTCCTTTGCCAACAGTCCCATGCTAAATGCTTCAGAGCTTTGGGTGTGCATCAATCTCTTTCCCAACCATCGGTCTCCCCACACCACATCACCAGTTCAAAGCCGTTTCCTCCACTTTCGTAACTTGTGTGAAGGTTACAGAAAAGAAAATGGTGGGGACAAACGTTGAGTAAGTTTTTCAGAGGGTTTGACTTTTAGGACTACCTCTCAAGAGTCCCTTTTTAAAAATAAGACACGACAGCAAACAGGATTGTGTCTAACTTCTACAAAATTGCTGGTTTCACAGGAGAAGGAGAATATGGCTACCATGCTACTCAGCATTAAGGTGAAGCACCATCTAAATTCCAGTTAGGAATATTACCTAGCTCATATCAGCAACCACACCCCCAGCCTTCTACAACGTCTTTGCTGTCAAGCTTGATGCTGTCAGTATTCTTCTCACTGAACATAGGGCCTCCATGCCTCATCATGAGCTCTGTAGCCATCTTCACAAAAGCCTCCTCCACATTGCTGGAGTCTTTTGCAGAGGTCTCTATGGCACAGATGATATTATCATAGTGTTCAGCCAGACTTTGAGCTTCTTCCAGCTGAACCTCTCGAAGGTCACTTAGGTCAGACTTATTTCCTAGAAGGAAACAGCAACAGAGTAATTTATAATGACAGTTTATGTCAAAGTAAGTTATTTAGCAGGAGGTTCTCAGGTTGCCCAGGGAAGCTGCGGAATTTCCATTCTGGAGATTTTCAGAATGACTGAAAAGGCCCTGACCAACCTGCCATTAGCCTCACTTTGAGGAGGAGGTTGGACTAGATAATCTCCTAAGCCTCTTCCAGCCTGTATTTCTGTATGACTCACATAGAGAACAGAAAAAGTAATTGAAGAGTGGTAGCTGTAGACCTTAACAGAAGAAAAATGGGCTAGAAATGAAAGCTAAAAGCAATCTGTGAAAACAACAGCAGTCTGTTGGTTCCTAGGGAAATCTAGAATGCTACTGATATCATACTGGGGCTACAGGCCCCAAGAGCCGCATCTGAGTCAGAAACACTGGGAAGCAGAGCTTCTAGCACAAAGCTGACAAACCCTGATTTCCCCAAAGTGCTTCCAAAATCTCCCATCTGCTAAAGGATGTGGAAGCTCCAGTTCACCAAAACATGTTGACTTGATATGATGGAGCTTCTCTGGACTCTGGAAACCTTATGATCCTTATCATGAGGACAGCTCCACAGCAGCTGTGCCTCAGAACCTGGCCATCTTGGGTACCCACTTCTGCGTTAAGTGAGATACAATGGATTCAAAGCTGGCTTCTGATAAAAACTGGCTACTTCTTAACAGAAGTTGATCAAAGCAAAACATTTCTGTTTTGACGAATCAGCACTTCCTAATTAAAAAAAGAAAAAAAAACAACAAAAATTTCCAACTGGATCTATTACGTACATCTTAACTTCAACCAAAAATAAAACCTTTAACCAAATACTGCAACTAATTATGTTGTCCAGTAATCTGCAGCACTTGGTATTAGTATTTTTAACTCACCAATCAGTAATTGCACTATGTTGGAACCAGCATACTTTCTCACATCCTCGATCCAGCGAGGAATGGACAGGAAAGAGCCTCTCTTGCTGATATCGTAGGCTAGGATTGCTCCATTGGCGCTGCGGTAATAACTCTGTGTGATCGTTCGGAACCTCTCCTGGCCAGCTGTGTCCCAGATCTGCAACTAAATAAAATAAAGAATACAGTGAGACACTGGCTAGCAGCCTTTCCTGAATCAAAAGTCAGGACTCGATTCAACAGCCTTGTTAGAAGTCTCCCTTATACATAATACCTTCTAGCATTACATTTCTCTATTCCTTTGTTCATGGTTTAAGGATAATAATATACACTGGCGAACGTTTTTTGCACTTGGCTGCTCAGAGTTTTGTCTGTATCAGATGAGACACTCCAGGTTCCTGCAGCTGAGCTCAGACACATCCTTCTGTGGCAGATTATGACTTACCACTTTTTGTGTCCAGCCCTACTCCTGTGTCACTTTCTCTAGCAGAGTTAGCAAAGCAAGATGTTAGCCCATAGCCAGTCCACTCCAGTTCACCATCTGCTGTGTCACTGAAATTACAGGTGGGTTTTCACGAGCATATAATCTGGGGTACTGACATGGTCTGCTATGGGGGCAGCAACAACTGGAATAGGATGTGGTAGTATCATCTGAGACCACTGATGCTGTTTTATAAGGAAATATGAGACAACCAATAGATATTTAGAATACATTAAGCATATAGAAGAATGTACAAAATGAATGCCAGCAATGCTAGGTTTCAGTAAAGTCAGATCTAGTCAGTCTAGTCGCCTGTCCTTTTTTAAGTGGTAGAACAGACACTGCATCTGGGCAGGAAGAAGAAATGCTCAGCTTACATACTTCTGCCTAAATCCAGCTGCATAAGAACTATGAGTTTAGTACCAGGGTTTGAGTTCCCAGTACGAGATGTTCCAGAGGAAGAAGCCAAACAACTCAGAGTGGACAAAACCAATATCCTGCTCATAAGGAAAATTTCTTTTTAAATCCTCTTGTCTTATAGGTTGTCTAATGTCCTGAAACATGACGGCTTATATTCCAGGAACTTTTAATCTAAAGTAACTCTGGATGTTCTCATTCTCCACATAAATCTCTCATCTTTTTTGAATCTTTCAAAGCTCTTGGCTTCAATATATAGTACCAATGAAACCAAAGACTTTCCTTTTACAATTTTTTTCTTTTCTGTCCTTCTGTTGCACTTCTATTTCTGTATCCCCACATGATAAACGTGTATTGTGGACCTGCTATTTATTAGTTCCCCTCTCTCTGAACTTCTTTCTTTCAATGAGCTGACAACAACATCGCACAGTATCCCCGCGATGTTTTATACCAAATAATATGGAATCATTTTTCCATTTATTTCTTTTGCTCATTAGTATGTTGTTTGTATCTTTTGACTCTGCTGCATGTTTGAGCAGAAACTTTGGAAAAGGCTGTACTGATCAGATCACTTTCCTGTGCTAACCAAACATTTAGATCCCAAATGATATATGTACAGCTTAAAATGGATCAATCCAATGAAGAAGTACTTCTCAGTCCCAGTAGGAGTTTTCTCAGAGAAGGGGAAGGGACCATAATGGACTTAGAAAACAGAAAATCACGAAGCAATGATTATTAATGGAACAGATAATGATTTAGAGCAGTCAGCAGACAATTACTAGAGACAAGGAAGTTCATGTCAGGTTTATTTATGATTTCCTCTGTATTCAAGTCTCCCAGTAGACCTTTGTGTCTGTTACGTAGTTTTAAATCTCAATACATGATTAGGTCAAGTGCAAAACAAGGCTAATGATGATTACCCAACTCTTGGGAGAGGCCTGAGAGATTCTGTACATACAGAAGAATTATAAACTTTTTAAATTAAAAAAAAAAAATTGTTTTAGCTTACACTTTTCACAAGGTATACATAAAAGGGATTTACCTGCAGAGTGACTGAGCAAGCCAGTCTTGGGCCTTGTGCTGTATACTGGATTTTGAACACCTCAATTTTGGGAGGCGAAAGAGCCAACTGCCTGCTCAAAGTGAGGTCAAAACTTAATTCTTTCAAGAAGTACTCCTCTATGATTTTCCCAGGGACCAAATAGAGTCTGAGCAGCCAGCAGTTCCCACGATTTCTTGCCCTTTCTGAATACAAGTATGATATTTGCCTTTCTCAGGTCTTCCCCAATTTCCACAGCCTTTCACTAGTGATGGAATACCCTCAGAATGTCACTAGGAATCTCACAGCATCAACTACCCCCCCCATTTTTTACTCAAGTATTTATGTCTGTATGTTCACAGGACTGAATGGACAAAGTTGCTGAAGTCCTGAGTGTCCTGGGAACAGCAGAGACCACAGGTGTGACCCTCTCAGAAGCTCAAACTGCAGTCTTCCTCCCAGCCCACATCCTTCAGGTAAGCTCTTTTCCTCAGGCATCTGAAGTTCATGCTCCACTACTGGTCGCTCTTTTATGTAAGAACTCTGAATCATTTAGCTTTTTACATGATCTTTAGCTTGTTGTCGCTTTGCTTTCATTGCTAAGGCTACAGTATGCATTAGACCCATAAAAAGATAATTTCTTTCCAACCACATATACCAACACACCCGTCTGTCACTGTTCCCATCACTTCTCCTGGCAGAAGGAGCCAGGTTAGTGCTCACTCTTTGTTTCAGGGGAAGTCTGTCAGGTAAGGGCATGGTTTAATGACTTGCTTAAGCCAAACTAAGACCATACCGTGATCAAAGACTTGCCATCCCAGCTGCATATCCTTGCCCTCTCCCTGCACTGAAACTAGCTCCCATTAATCTAATTCACCATATAGCTTAATTCACTGATTTAACTGAAAAGCAGGGGATTTCCTTTACTTTCACGGGTTAACAATAATTACACAGCCACACGGTACTGAAAGCAGACAGACTGCATGGGGAAGAAGGTGTGATGATGATGCTTTAGAGCAATGGCAAAGTTGTCTTGAACCAGTCATGAACATGCCCCTTCAGTTTAACTTCTTACTGGAGGCGAGTGTGATCCAATCCAATCACCTCACCTGAAGGCGAGCAAGGAATCCTTGTACCATCTCCTCTGGTGGACCTGTGCAGAGATGGTAGCTGCAGCTACTGAGCATTAGCTCACTGTCTAAAGGTATTTTTTTTTAGGGGCTAATAACTCGCTCCTTACAATTTGAAAGCTTGAAAACCTATCTTGTCACAGCATTTGAAGTTTTAATAACTGTCTTATTTTAAATCATTAAGAACACACACTACATATGCATATGCAAGTAATATGAACCAAATGACCTAATTTAAAGGAAGATGTATTCCTAAAGGCAAAATATAGCTATTTGCTTGACAGCATCTTTAGAAAACTCTAAAAAATAGTTCTGTATAGCATGAATCAGTCTGATGTATGATTAAAAAAAAAAGTCATTACAAAAATACCAGTTCTAATCCTAAGTAAACACCAGTTTTCCTGTAGGCGTATAGATACATTTCAGACAATTCTACTGAAATAGAAACTTGACAACTATATATAAATACCAATCACAATTATCATTTAAAACCAGCATTTTATAGTAAAAATTGTACATAGTCTCTCTGCTAAACTGTATTTACAAGTATGTAACTCTTGACAAGAAATAATAATTGCAAATTCTTTGGAAAAATATGTAGTTTTGGTATTTCTCATTTAAAAGGCCCTCAATGTAAGTTAGATGTTAAAATCAAAATACCAAAAGAACGATAGAAAAAAGATATGATCGTATATTCTTTCGTATTGTATAAGTGTATCACATACACAGTGTATGACACACAGTTCTTAATTGTTTATTTCCTTGACTTAAATGCTTCTCCTTTTTAATAATTTAGTAATGTGATGGAAGCCATGTTTGTCACTTAGTAACCTTTTAAACGAATTCCTGATTTTGTAATTATTTTGGCAACAATTCCGGTATAAGAAAGACAGAGAGAGCCTGTGATTGCTGCAGAATTGTGTTAAATTCATCTGAGGATACTAAGAAAAAACACCTATGAAATAAGAGATTGGTAGCAGGCCAAATGAGGAGAGGATAAACAAAGCATAAACACCCACTGTTCAGAAGGAATATGACAGAATACCCCAAGTGAACAAAGACAAGGAGCCACCTGTCTTGTGCCAATTGTTTCACTATTGAATGCCTATTTACTTACAAAAGCTAGTTATTTTGATCTGCTTTTAGCCTTGAATTTTTTGGACAGCAGAGTCCTTAGCACTAGCTGGTACTGAATAGCAAAGCGCTAAACCAACTCCTGCAAGATTTTTCATGACTTCATATAATCACAATAGAATTGGAGCTTTCCATAAGTACATTAGACAAAGTCTTGAACATCTTTTCATATTTGTTTTCTCATCTTTCCCTGTTGGGAGGGAATATATGTCATTCATCCTTTGGAAGGATGCACGCTAGGGTCTGACTGGCTGGGGAGCAGCTGTGCTGAAAAGGCCCTGGGGTATTTGCAGACAGCAAACTGAACAGGAGCCAGCAGTGCATCCCAGCAGCATCCTGAACTGTATTGACAGGAGTGAAGCCAGTAGATCAAGAGAGGTGATAATTCCCCTTTATTTGGCACTTATTAGATTCCAATTAAAATACAATGTCCAGTTTTGGCCCCTGCCATACAATAAAGACACTGAGGAACTGGAGCAAGTTCAGTAGAAGGCCATCAAGATGGTGAGGTAATCTGAGTACATAGCCCATGAGAAGAGCCTGAGGGAAACAGGCTAATTCAGCACGCAGAGGGATTTGAGATGACCCATTAGCTGCTGTCTAGTACCCATGAGGAAGTTACCAAGTAGACTGAGCCAGGCTCTTCACAGTGGAACATGATGGGAGGATGAGAGACACCAGAGAAAAATTAAAACAAGGAATGTTTCAACTTGATGTACGAAGGAAAACAGAAGGTGGTAAAAATTATGGTGGGTCTCTGGAAGATCATTCTGGGATGTCTGATTAGACTGAAAGAAAGCACAGTTTCAACTACAGAAATAGACAAAATCTTGAAAATGGTGAGTGGCAGATTGACCAAAAAGCATAGTAAACTAGTATTATCAAATAGTTTTATATAGATTTTCTTGCATTGATAAACATACTGTTCATCAAAGGTTAATGCTTAACAAAAGGACTCAAGACAT